CCCTAAACGTCCGTGTAATAGTTTTGGAGACAAGGATGCAACACAAGATACAGATGATTTAGTCCCAAGGTAGTATAAGCCTCCAGATTCATGCCCTTCACCAATCTGTCGACTCGTACTACGTTCCTATATAACAAAGGAGTTGGCATTAAAGGTTACTGAACAATTCAATAATTTGGTTAATTGACTTAGGGAAATGAGACTGAAGGAACATGAAGAAACAGAAAGAACAGATTTTAAGTTTAAAGACGGAGAAATAGAGACTTGACCAGTTCCTTTAGAGGCTACTTTAGATTCATTGGCTAAGGTTATGAGATAAGGAGTTTTAGGAAATGAGAGAGAAGAGAACAAAGAGGTATTACCAGACATGTGATCAGAAGCACCTGAGTCAATAATCCATGGATTTTGACTTTCCACAGATTGTGAAATGCAAGCGGTTGATGAATTTGGGGTTGTTGATGACTGTGCTAGATTACTAGATTTCAACCTCAAATATTCTTGATATTCTTCGTGAGAGAACTTGGGTTCAACCATTTCAGATTTGGAAAAATTGACAGTTTTGTCAGAAAAACCGTGCAAAAAGTAGCAATTTTCCAGGGTATGACCCATTCTCTTGCAATGAGTGCACTGAGGACGTCCTCTACCTCCACGTCCTCCTCTAGTACCGCGACTTCCTCTTCCACGAGTAGAAATCATAGCAGAAGATTCAACAAGTTCTTGATTATTTTTTCCTTTGAGAGTTGGAATCAAACTTTCCATAGAAGGAACTTCTTGTCCAGTTAAAATTTGATCTCTAACATGATCAAATTATGAATTCATAGCCCAAAGAGTCATAACCATATAGAATTTATCCAACTTTTGCGTTATCTCCTCTAACGAATCCACCTCTAGGAACATCTTTGATTCTTCGACTGCTGATTGAGTTTCAACAATAAAGGTCATCATATCTTTATCCATTTGCTTGAGAGAGGTTAATCGATTAGCAGAATCATAAAGGCGTTGAATATCATTTGCGAAGATATTATGAGCCTTTTTCCAGAAAGAGTTACATGTTTTGAAGGATCTAAGAGTGTTCAAAATATTTGGTTATTCTGATTGCCACAATAGAGCACAGAGTTGATAATCAAGCTTTTTCCATTGTTAAGCCTGATCTTCTGGTATCTTACTTTCATATTCTTCTAGATGATCGTGAAACCCTTGTCCAAGGAACCAAAGTTCCACTGAAGAGGACCAAGACATGTAATTTTTTCCATTTAATTTCTCAACCGTTATAGTGGGAGTTTCGGAAAAGGAGGTTGTGGGCCCTGATGACATGTTTTAAATAATGTAGATGTAAGATGAAGACAATAAAACCTGTAAGGAGAACACCCAAGATAGAATTAGATAGAGAAGTAAGTATCAATTTTCACTTCATGAGAGAACTGATGAATGGCAGCAGCGGCGGACAACTGTAGCGTAACGGAGGCCGGAAGGTCACTGGAAGGTGGTCGGAAAGTCGTTGGACAGCAGCAAAAAAGTGACTGGACGGGGGGCTGACGATTGCCAGAAAGTGACAGGAAAGTGACCGAAAAGTGACCAGAAAGTGTTCGGAAAAGTGGTCAAAAAAGTGGTCGGACGGTGGCCGGACGGTGGTCGGACGGTGATCGGACGGTGACCAGAAAGGCAAAGCAGGACCAACCTGCTCTAATACCAAGTTAAGAGAGTAAAGAGAGTGAAAAAGAAATTTATAATTCAGTGGGATGTCATTCTCCACTCTATGATCTCATATATATATATATATATATATATAGGATTCCAGTATTTAAAACAACAACTACCAACCATCAACTACTAACCACTAACCACTAACCACTAACTACTAACTAATAATAATTCTAACAATTACCAACCAAAAAACATTTGTTCATGATATGTCTCCAAGATTGAATAAACTTCCAACTCGAGCTATCAAATATGTCTTGAGACATTCTTGGCTTAAAAAAGGATATCGATATTATTTTCCTGTCATCATGAGTTACTATATATCAACAAGTATTACATTTTTTTTAATAGACTCCTTTCTTCTCATCCTCCATAAAAGATGTTAATTCAATCTAACAATTCTTACCTACACCATTAATTGAGACTTTTGTTCCTCAAGCTCTTAACAACCCAGGTCCTGTCAAAACTCCATATGAACCATCATCATCACCTCTTACTACCTCTACCAGCACAAGACCCAAATGACTAGTCCAATGCTCCCAAGTGAGTCCTCTTCATTAGCTTCTTCTCAATAGTCACTCAATACCAGGACTCCTAATAATGTTGGTTCAAGTTAGTCAATTACTTTTGCATCCTATTTACAACTTTTTAGATATCATTGATTGTTTGCTTCTCATTTTTCCTTTATCTCCTCAGTGTCTTCTATTATTATTCCTAAAAATGTGATAGAAGCACTTGATCATTTGGGTGGCAATAAGCCATGAAACTATGGTTCCAGAAATGCAAACTCTTGAACATAATAGTACATGAGATTTAATTCCTCTTCCATCAGGACAAAAATGATTGTCCCTAGGTTTATGCCATAAAGTTGGCCCCAGTGGTGAAGTTGATCGCCTCTAAGCTAGATTAGTTGCTAAAAAATATACTCAAATCTATGACCTTAATTATAGTAACACATTCCCTCCAGTGACCAAAATGACTATTGTCCGTCTTTTCTTGTCAACAACTATTGTCAGTCTCTTCATCGATTGGATAACCTCTTGGATTTGCTGCTTAGGCTCTCTATAGTCTCACAATCTTCATGAGCTTGATTTGGGAAATTTAGTCACATTGTTCAAATCCCAACCAAATTGAGCTAATTAAGCAAGAATAACTCAAATTATATTCATTTTTGTAATTGAAATAAATGTCTCATCATAGTCAATCCCATAAATATGAGTGTAGCCCCCTATTACCAATTTGTCTATTATCCCACTTGCCTTATGTTTTACTATGAATATTAGTTTGCACCCTACAATCCTTTTGTCTCTTGGTTTATCAACAATCTCTCAAGTTTAGTTTTTTTCTAATACATTCATCTACTCTTTCATGGCTTGTGCCCAATGATGACTTTTTATGGCTTCCTAATCGAAGTTAGGAATTTTTAGCTATGATTTTTCGAGATTTTTAATGCAGACATATTGAGAAATAGGATATTTAGCATACGACCTTTTTCCTTTTCTCAATGGAATGGGTAAATTCTCAATAATACTTACCACTCCAGTGTTATTTTCAAGGATTTTCACTCCTAAGTCATACAACTTGTCTTGCTCTAAAGCCAAAGTGGGTAATTCTTCTCTTTGATATCTTTTGGTCGAAGAATTTGTCTTCTTTCTATATGTCCTTACTGTGGATTGCTTCTATTATTCCATACGTGACCATCACGTAGATCTTGGACATCCTATAAAGACAAATAAGATAATAACAAGAAGGAAGACTCCTCCACTTCAAGTGGTTACTCCCCTTGGAGTTGAGGGTAGACAAACAAAGATTATGTTTCATGAAAGGTGGCATCTATGGTGACAAAGACTTGATGACTCTGAGAATGATAACATTTGTAACACTTTTTGTTTGAAGGATAACCAATGAAGACACATTTAAGAGCTCTAGGGTCAAATTTATTCTGATTAGGATTATGAGAATGAACAAAACAACACATCTATAGCTAAAACAAGTTAAAGTTCACACTAGGGGAGAAAAGGGAACAAATGACAATGAAGACTTAATAGAACTAGTACCATGCAAAACACAAATAGGTAGCCTATAAATGAGATATGTGGTAGTTAACACATTTCTCCCCTATAGGTATTGGCAATAAACATTTGGGAAAGGAGGGCTCTAACAATTTAAAGGAGATGATTATTCTTCCTTTCTACATCCCCTTTTGTTGTAGAATGTTTACAAATGTGTTCATGGACAATTTTATGAGGTAAAATTTTGAAAAATTCATAATTCACATATTCAATACTATTCAGTACTTTTGATATTTTTACCAAATTGATACACAAGATGAAAAATATGAACAAAGATTTAAAAAACCACATATTTACTTTTAATAATGTATGTCCATGTCATATAGGTGAAAGAGTCAATACAAGTAACAAAACACTTTACCCCTGAAACAGATTGATTCTAGGACAAGTCCCCAATCATTAGTGTAAATTAAATCAAATGGGGAAGTACTTTTAATTTTACTAATGAGACAAAGGTGGTGTTTTGAAAATTGACAAATATCACGTTCTACCGACTCGACATACTCCTTGGTAACAAATGAGGAAACAAGGATTTAAGTTAAATGAAGGATGTCCAAGTCTTCTATGATGGAGCCATATTTAGGAACTTGCTCATGTTTCAAATGTTGTTTTCCTAGCTTATGTCCAAGACTCATCGCTCATGTTTTATTCTAATCTTTGGAATCAAAGAGATACAACTCACCCTACTCTTTTAAAGTAATTAAAATTGACTTCCTCATGGCAACATCTTGAAAAACATAACAAGAAAAGAAATAATGTCACGAACAATTTAAATAATTTGTAAGTTTATTTAAGTTTTAGGATAGAGATAAAACTATTAGGCAATTGTGCAACATATAAAACACCTTTTAATATAATAAATAATTCTAAAATTATATGCTCAAATTTGCATATGAGCACACTATTACCATTTACAATTGAAATGAGTTGTTCTCTTGTCGTTTTGATATATGAGTTGAAAAGCATATGAAATGGAGTCATTGATTTGTTGCTTATGAATCAAGAGTCCAAACACACTAAGACACAAGGCTAATAATTATATTGAATGAAATGTTACCCTTCATGGACAAGGTACATGATCTAAGGACTTGCTTATTGATTCAGTTATTGTCCTAATATGATCAACTTCCTCCATTTTGGCTTTCATATCAAGAAAAGAAAAAGTTGTCGAAGGATGCATTGAGAGAGTTGGAACAATGGTTGTTCCAAGAAAATACCAAACACATGTCACAGCAAAAATGTCATAGCAAAAGGAACCTGATTGGAAAAAAGGATAAAAATCATATATACTCAACATAGAGCCAGAGGGGAAGTGAGTGGGTCTTGCAAAAGCTAGGCGTTTGGGCTACATGCATCAATTCTAGTGGCAATTCTTCTAACAATGCATGATCACCATCATGGAGCGCAACTCTCTAGTCATCAAGATCAGTGGTTGGGCAAACAGCAATTGTGCATATTCTTGTTTCGCTATTTGTGCAACATCAAAAACAAAAGATCCATTTTTAATATATAAAAGAACTTGACATCATTTCTAATCCAAAAATTTAAGGCAATAGTTTTGTCGGTTTTTCTCCTTATATATTGCTCATCCTACTCATTTCATAGAAATGTGAGACTTCTAACTCACCCTTGAACACTAACAATCTCTCCTTCTAATGTGAGTCTCTTCAACATGTATCCTTCCACTCTTGTGATTTGAAGCATATGTACTAAATGGTTACCCAAACAAAACCAACTCTCATACCAACTTAAGGTACGAAGGAAACAAGAAATAATTTTATTAGTAACAACCACACCAATACATTCTCATATCATCTTATTTGTAACAATCAATTTATTTGAAACAAAATATAATGAAATAAATAAAAATATTTTAAAATATTTTGTCCTAATCAATATGAAAATACTAAAGATATTTTTATCCTAATAAACCACTATTTACAATACCTTTATTAAGTGTGATTCCAGTTATCATTATTAAATTTTACTACTTATATCAATTGGCGTTTTATCAATTAATACAACTGTCATAAATAACTGCCCAAAATCCAATTTCTATCAGAATTCATAAAAGAATTGACGAAAAGCTGCATTACTAAAATATATTCAGGAGTACCTCACAGAAACCATAAAATAATTGAGGAAAACCAGTACTGCTAAAATATATTCAGGAGCACCACACACTCTCCTCAAGTACAACTTTACATCTCCCGGTGTCCTGCTCTCCTCTTAGTTACACATTACACTACTTATTCTATTGGGCAGCCATCCACCCCAGTACAATCAATTATTCATTTATTAGTCACATTTGTGTTGATTCCCCTTCACCTTTTACTTATCCATCCTGAGATAGACCCTTTTAATAAGTGGTCTGCTATCAGTTAAATGTTGAAAGGGGAAAGAAAAAGAAAGAGATTGCTTCTATTACCAAGGCTGATACATAACAATATTAACAAAGCTCATATGACCAATTGTTTTCTTCCACGCTTTGTATGAAGATACTAGCAAAAACAATTATTGTGCTGCATAGCAATTGCATTGCAATATAAGATGAGGTACCTTTGCAAAGTGGTCCAATAAATAAGCAACATGTCATAAAAACAAGAAACTAAAACAAGCAAAAGATAGAAACAATTCAGTACTATGAATCGTGTGAAAAAGTTGCAGCAGCAATGAAAACAATGCAGATTATCAGCATAAATGATAGGACAGAAACAGAAATAGTAATTATAATCACTACAAGAAGTAGAATCTGGATCAATGCATGAATTGCTGAAATCATCCAAAGGATAAAGGGGGGAAAACTTACTAACTTGATTTCATGTTTACAAATGTTACTTTTCTCAGGAACAAATAAAACAAAATCCGATCAACGGACAGGAAGAAACAATTAACTGGAAAATATCAGGCATACATATAGTATCCCTTTCCCAGACACATCTCCTGCAATTCTAATATTGCTATTATATTTTTCTCTAACAAAGAAGTAATCATTCACGACTTGAAGTAGCCACACCACAAAATAATTCCTTATTTTCTATCTAGCAAATTAAATTTAAAACTCGGATAAAAAGGCATCCTTTTTTGTATTCCTTTGCGAAGAATGCATTACCAACTACATAATCACGACAGATCAAAGAAACCATTCTCTAAAGAAATGGTTATAACCAAGGTTGTCAAACTTAATAGTTCTCTTTGGTGTTCTCTAAACTCGACTTGTAAAATTTTAAGAGATTTTTGGACATAAAAAACTTATAAATAACATACTAATTCAACATTTTAATTTCATAATAATGCAAAATAGTAAATCTCAACATTTTCACTTGTAGTTTTAGCAACTGAGGAGGTAGTTGCATTGTCATTAATTGGTTTTGATCCTGTTCCACTCCAAGAAATATTATACATTAAATGGTAATGAAATATTAATATTAATATAACACAATATAGGAGTTAGTGTGAATAAAAATTTCAATTTCAGAAAATAAAAAAATTATCCGCATCAGCAAATTGGAAGCAGTGAAAATCATAGACTTGACACCCACATGAGGTATGTGAAAATTTGGGGTAGAGAAAAAATATAAAAGATATGAATCATGCAATTGATAGGATGTAAATTTAATAAAAAGCTGGAAATTTTGAAGTTGAAAAAAAAAACAGGGAAGTTGTAAAAATAACGACTCTCGATCAAATGGAAAGGAGTTGTTGACCTTCAACTCATTGGAATGAAGTTGCCAAAGTGCCCTAAAGCAGAGAGGAGAAATTCTGTCTAGTGAACTTGAAATCGAGTCTTCAGCAGAGAGGAAAACTTCAAGAAAACCCACAATCACGAAGAACACCAGCTGTTGTGAAGAGAAACCAGGACGAGAAATAGCAATGTTGCCATGAGGATGAGCGAAGAGAAGAATAGCAATGGATAGTAGCTGCAATTGGAGGAAGAACCAAGAGAAGCTGTAATTCAAGATCCCTAATTTTTCTTCTATTTTTGTGTTTTCATTATAAAGAAAATGCATCTGAACTCGCCCACTAGGACCTAAGTTCACCCACTCGAACATGAACTCTTTGTTTGAATTTGTTATAGAAGATGTAGAAGAAGTGAAGAATTTGGTATTTCAAGATTAAGAATAATTTTGAATTATTTTTCCTTCTCTTCCCATGTTCTCTCCCCATGTTTCTTACAATAGTAGATATAACCAAATCTATCCTATAACAAAATTCCACCAAATGCGAAAACAAACACAAATCCTAACAGAAATTATTCTCACTCTGTATAATGCATAATTATAAAAGAAACTATTTCTCTTAGTGAATAAACTCATTCCATCTGAAGTTTGTCTAGAAATGATTGGCCCATTCACACCAATTGTATTGTTGGTGTTAGGCCCACTAGTTATCATTTTGTCTGAGTCCATACGATCCTACTATGAGATCAACCAAATTTTGAGTTTGCATGAAAAAAACGAACTATTTTTACATCATTACATACATGACTATCACCCATCTTAAAATTCAGTATATTTAAAATTCAGTATATTGATTCAATTGAATTTGCTGTGTAAGAGTACAATATGAGACGTGGACAGAAGGAGAGCTTCATGTTAAAAAATCCATACACAAATTAGAACACTAGCAAGAAAAGAAACAAATTCAACTGCTCTAAAAACATGTTAAGAATGATTCTACGGGTAAGTCACAAAGTCCTCACCAAAGAATCGCAAGCCCTTAATTTCCAATCCACCCCTCAGCAATGCAGATCAACCCGCCCAAGTCAATAAACACACTAATCAATCTACAACAAAGTGAGTTCCTGCGGGTTCTCCATAGACTGTTTGAGAATATACTCCGCCCTCCTTTTCTTATCATCCCTCTCATCTTCTCTCCCAGCCAATGCCACCGTCCTTGACGCATCCTTATTCCGAATTCTCATATCCAACGATTCCCCAATGAACTTCTTCCCAGTCCTAAACTTAAAATGCACTGTAGGTCTCACAGAAGGAAGCTCACTTCTGTCTCTCTCCCCAAACCCATCATCCTCATCAACACCCAACCCTCCACTCCCAAGCATCTCAATCGCCGGAGCAAAAGCCTCCAATACGGAAACACGGTTCCCATCACCACCACTACCCTCTTCCAAAACTGAAACCTTAACAACCGGAGCAACATCTTTGTCAACATCCTTATCACCATCACCAACACCTTGAAGTTCTGAAACAGTACTATCCGGTGAAGCTGATGTTCTAGCTTTTGCTTCCACTGACCCGTTACGCAACAACAACCGTTTCTGCAAACTCAACAACGACCTCTCAGCCTTCCTACGCTGCCTAGCTTGTTCAATTTTATCTTCACGAGGATCAGAAACCCTCTCATGCCACACTGGGGTGTGAATATACGTGTGGGGATCGGGCAAAGCCGGTAACCACGCGGGAATATGTTTCGACGGTGGAGTCTCGCCCATCTGATCGAAACTCGGAATGCAACGCCGTTCCTGAACGACCGGAAACCGAGGAATCGGTTGAGCGAACGGAACCTCGTTCGCCGATTCCACGAAGCTCACGATCTCTCTCACTCCGCCGGCACCAGAGAAGGCTCGCGGCGCTTCCAGGTCCTCGAAGCCACGAATCGCGTCGAAGACGGTGCATTGAGATCGGCCAGCGTGGTTCGCGTGGGACTCCGCGGTTCTGCCTAAGTCCAGGAGGTAGCGGACTGCGACGTCAGCGAAGGCGTCCAGCGCAGAAGCGGTGGCGCTGTGGAACCCCGCGGCTTCGCAGAGCTGCGCCACTGCGAGGCGCGCCGCGGCTCGGCCGAAGTAATCCGGCGCGGCTCTTCCTCCTCCGTTGGACATGGTTGGTCAGGGACGCAATTAGGGTTTCCGCGCGCGGCATTGTTCGGGTTCCATGGGATTTGACTTTTCGACTAGCTGCAATTGAACGAGGCCTCGTTTGGGAAGCGAATATAAACAGATGAAAAAATTAAAGGAAGAAAACCTAGTTTGATCTATAGAACATGCAGAGCGGGGTTGGTAGTGATTAAGAGCGTTGGAGCAATGGAAATGTGGGAAGTTAAGTGAAAAGATAATTGAGGTTGAAGAGTTGCTATTAAGAAGTTGGAGTAAGATTTGTGGAAGTAACGAGAATTAGAAGACGAAAGGTGGGAAAATCAAATAAGAGGGAAGAAGGTGATGGGAAAGGAGGAAGCAGGGGAGGTTTATTTATAGAGTGGTGAGTATTTTTTATTTTGGTCAATCAAAGACACAAGAACTATTTGTACTCTTTAGAAATGTATTTTCAATTCTCTTCATATAAATACATCCCTTCATTGGTAGGATAACCAAAACAATATTTTGTTGTGACGTGAGCCGCAACTGTTATTAAACTAATATTTTAAAAACTAAAATAAATATCTTAAAATATAAAAATGAAAACGATAAAACTTATGTAACTATATAATTTAAACGAGTAATTAAATTTTATTATTGTTATTTTTTTAATTAATTATGTCCAATATTTTATTTTTTTTCTTATATATTATTTCATGTTCTAAAGACATATTCCATATAAACTTTTTTTAATCTTTATTAGTAATAATAACAAGTAAATATTTTATATAAATAATAGTTTAAATATAATATTTAATTATAAATTTCAGGTATTAAAATTGTTATTTTTTTACTCTTGGGGACATTTTTAATATGATGTTAAAATAGTTGGAATGATTTGAAAAATAAGTTAAATTTAAAAATATAAAATAATTATCTAAATTCAACCACTCATATTTTGATCTAATCCATTTTAATTATAACTTACATAAATTTTTAAGTCAGGCTAATCATAAACTAGGGACTTACAATATAATAATTAATTTTACAGTAATATATTATAAATTAATTTAATAAAAAATTCACTCATTTTAAAAGTAAATATCAAAATAAATATTTACAATACTTATTTTAAAATTTAATGATTAAGATTAATTATTATTTTAAATTAATAAATTACTAAAATAATAAATACTATCATAAATAATAAGTTTTTAATTTTTATTTTAAAATTGAATAGATGTATTCTCTTATAATTTTTATATTAAATTATTATATCTTAAATAAAAATTATATTTACTAATAAAAATTAAATTTTAAAAATATATTTTTTATTTTTTATTTTTATTTAAATATTTTTTACTTAATTGATTTTAAAAAAATTAATCAAGCAAAAATTGGTTTATTAACCCATTGACTTAATATAAAGATAAATTAAATTAAAAATTTTAGTCCATTTTAAAATATACGTTAGATTATATTTTTAATTTTTTTATTTACTTACCCCGTAAAGTTATGTCACTTATTTTGATAGTTGTAATTTTTAAAAACAACTAAAATTATGTTTAAAATTTGAAGGAATGAAAATGAAAAATAACTAAGAGATGTAATTAATATTTTAAAACACATTTTATCATGTATAATATTTATTATTATTTGTATGAAATTGATTAGTATTTCTTTTATCATTTATTACTAACAATGTCTTTGTTGGGTTAATGCATAAAAAAAGGGGATAAAACATTGTTGTGATCTAATTCCACACTTAGATTATTAGTGATGTAAATAAAACTTTAAAAATCAATAAACCATTAAACATTCACTATTTTTAAGATTTCTCCTATACTTGAACGTACAAGATTATCAAAGAAATTTCATACAAATTTAGTTTAACAAAATGGTACAGGAAAAATAACTTGGAATATCCCCATGAATAGAGAATAAAGTTAAACACATGAGAAATTAAGTTGTGTAGCAAATAAATTTGGTTTCTAATACGAATAATATGGGAAATTAAGTTTTTTTTTTCTTTTTTTTTCTTTCTTTAGTTAGTTGATCCAATATTTGGTATTAAAACTCTATATAATAGGTATGGTTAAAATTTGAAATAATAGTTTTTGTTAATGTAATGATTAAAGAATGATGACAAATAACTCTTTTGTGTAACCAATAATTTCAAAGTTTGATGATTACTGTAATCATTGAACAATACTTAAAGAAAACTTTCTATAAGTATTAGAGTTTGCAGGAAACTAGAGTTCCTACAATATCAAAAGATACTCCTCCCTTAGATATACAAAAGAAAAATATTGATGATATAAATTTGAAAGATTTTAAGGTAAATAACTACTTATTTCAAGCACTTGACTGTTTTATTCTATAAACAAACCTTAAGAGTGATAATCAAAGGATATTTGAAACATATTTGCAAACTCTTCACAAAGAGTTTGAAGTTCTTCACGTGAAGCCAGAAGAATCTATAAATGAATATTTTTCTCAAACTCTTATCGTAGCCAACAAAATGAAAACAAATGGAGAGGAAAAGTATTGAAATTGTTGAAAACAATCTTAAGGTCGATGATACCCAAATATACTTATGTTAAGTATTTTATTAAAGAGTCAAAAGATTTAAGTATCTAGACATAGATGAGTTACAAAGTAGTCTTATAGTTCATGAACAACATATAAGTTCTCATGTTAAAAAGGAACAAGTTTTAAAAGTTACACATGGAGATCAACTTGGAGGGGTGAACATCGTGGTACTTTTACTAAATGGAGACAAAATAGTAATAAAACCGTAGTGGAATGTTATAATTATCATAGGTTGGGTCATTACCAATAGGAATGTCCAAGCAAGGAAAAAAGATAAAGAAAATAATTATGCAGAAGTTTAAGAAGATATGTTGTGGCCCACTTGGAAATGCAAAAAACAAATAAAAAGAATACATGGTTTCTTGACTTAGGCTATAGTAATCAAGTGTGTGGGAGAAAAGAGTATTTTTCTTTTTTTATGGGAATTTTAAAGATTTCATCAACATGGTGACAATGCTAGTTTTGAAGTAAAAGAAAAAGGAAGCGTGAAGTTACTAATCAATAGTGAAAATGATCACGGAGGTATTATTTGTACTAGAGTTAAATAATAATTTATTAAGTATTGTCCAATTAAAAGAAAACGAACTTATAGTTGTGTTTCAACATGAAAAATACAAGGTGTATCATCCAAAGTGAGGTTTGATTATGGAAACAAGGATGTTTTCAAATAGAATGTTCATACTACATGTAACATTTCAAACACTTACATCTGCTTGTTTTAACACAATTTACAAAAGATATTGTGCAAATTTGGTATTGTAAGCGGACATTTAAGCTTCAAGGGTTTGCAAACTCTATCAAAAATAAATGGTGAATGGTTTACTACAACTAAAGTCATCCTTAAAGTTATGTAAAGATCGTTTAGTGGCGAAATAACATAGAGATCCATTTTCAAAGAAAAGCAATTGGAAAGTTACTTAAATTCTTCAATTAATACATGTTGATAGTTGTGGACCAATTAATCACGTGTCTAACAACAAAAAGAGGTACTTGCTTACTTTCATTGATGACTTTAGTAAAAATCATGAATTAATTTTTTAAAGAAAAGTTAGAAGCACTTGATGCTTCACAAAATTTAAGATTTATGTTGAAAAGGAATCAAATTTGTTTATTAAAGTCTTATACATTAGGATAGAGAATTTTTATCGCATGAATTTACTATTTTATGATTTGCATGAACAATTGACAACAACATATACACTACAACAAAACATGGTTGGGGGAAGAAACAGAATTATCATGAACATGGTTTGTAGCACTTTGTCAAAGAAAAAAATACTTAAGAGTTTTTTGTTATAAGTGATCAATTAGACAATAAATGTCTTGAATAGAAGCCCAACATTGGTAAGGAGAGATAAAATCATAAAGGAAACCTGAAGTGAAGTTAAGCTTTCTGTTGAGTATTTCGGATCTTTAGATGTATCTCTCATGTTCACGTGTTTGATAATAATAGAAATAAGCTAGATGATAAAAGCTTGAGTTGTGTCTTGTTAGGAGTTAGTGAACAATCAAAAGGGTTATCGGCTTTAGGATCCAATCCCACAAGGAATTGTAATTAGCAATGATGTTATATTTGAGAAAGACAAACATTAGAATTGGGATAAGAATGTTTGATAAAATATATTTATGTGATTTAGAATGGGGTAAAGATGAAGTGGAAACTGTTAGCAAATTTTGGGTCATGTATATATATGATACATATTTGAATGTGTTAGGGTCATTACTTATTAAGCCAAATAATAAAGTGATCTGAATAAATTAAAGTTTTGGCTAAAGGCATATGTCATGAAAATAATATTGTGTAGAGACCATAAAGTAATTTCTAATTTGATGAGGGGCCAAATTGGAAATACTAAAACTTAAGTAATTAACCTAATTTTGGTTATATAAAGGGTCATGGTCCCCTTCTGAGAGCACACAGAAAAATTACATTTACAGTCCCGTTCCTTTTCTTTCTATCCCCATCAAGAGAGAAAATCAATAGGGAAATACAGGTGCTCTTCAGATGGAAGACCATAAGATCAAATCAAAAGTGCTCTACAAAGAATATCATCATTATGGATAATTTAGGTACGCTTTCGCATTTAGTTCATAACATGTTTACAGTATGAGATTATATTTGTATGTTTGATCATAAGGAAGAAGATCATATTCAATTACAGTTTAACCTTACAATTGGTATCAGAGCAACCCATACTTGATTCATGTTTGCATTTGAAAATGAGATTCTGACTAATTAAGAACCTAGTTGGAGAATAATCTTCAAATTTTATGAACCCTAGATTCAAATTTGGAGTAAAATCCCAAATTTTAAAACCTAATTTCGAATTTGAGGGTAAAACCCCCAAACTCCTCCTGGACCATCCTCTTCCACCTCGCCACCCTCGTCGAACCCTGGCTTCCCGATCCCTCCAAATTTTTCTCTGTCAACGTTG